AATAACTATCTTCAAGTGCTCAAACCTTGTTTCATTTAGCTAAAATATTCAGATTAATATTACAAAATCTATAAAAAAGCGCGTTTGTTGTAAATAAAAATTAACTATAGCTTTATAATAATATTCTACACTCAAGCTTTTCAAAAATATTTTTGTTTAAAGGATTTTTAAAAAACATTTTAACGTGAAAGAAGTGGAGAGAATAAAGGGAGAGAAGAAATAGGTGTCATTTGATTTTTTCGCGAAATAAAATTTATAATTCGCTATCTGCTAATCACCTGATATAATGATATTATAATGCTTGTTATCTTCATATAGTCTTTATCTTTCTGTATAAGATAAATTAAATACATTAATATTCTTCACAGAAATTCGATTATTTAAGGTTGTGTAGCAACCATTGCCTCAGGTATAAAAATATAAAACTTTGGTATCACATGTATGGATTTGTATCTTGTAGTGTATGGTTAAATATCACGTGATGATGTTAACCATATACTACATGTTTACTATATACTCATCTACATAAGGAAAAAATTTCTTTAGCGTTTTTAAAAAAAGCGGGATGATGTATTAGTGCGTGAACATTCAGAAAATATAAAATCTAAATAAATACCCAATAACTTAAAGAATAATACAATAGTCTCAAAAATGTACTACATAAATGGCAGCGTTACACGGGCTGATCAATAATAAATAAAATTAGTTACACAATAATCAACGGGACAAACAACGGAAATATTCGGATATGTACATTATCTTACACAAAATTTATTACTATAGTAAATGTTTTATCAATTAACAGCAAAAGACAAATAAACCCTAATAAAAAATTTTTATCCGTTATTTCTGTAAAAACTCCGTAAAAATGAGCCTTTCACGGATCCATTCACGGAAAATGTAAATAATCGATAAATTCCGCGATATAAGGTTATTAATTCCGGAAATGTGAGCCTTTTACGGAAAAAGATGGAACGATCAAAAGACTATTTGTCCGATATATAAATTGTTTGAACAAAAGTGATTTTCGGAAGATAGATTGCTTAATATCCTACTATTATTTATTTTCTGAATAAAAACTGTGACTTAAAGTATTTGTTTGCTGAAGATATTATAAGTTAAAAGTCATTTTTAATTAATACTGGTATTTGGCCTCTATGATTACGAGATTTTAGCAAAAAAAAAAGTAATCTATTAAATTTTGACAAGGTAAATAAATAAATAATGACATAAGCATTATTAATAAAATGCTTATTTCCAAGGTATCTTTGGGAAAGATTTTCAGATTTTCAAGATTTCAGTAAATTTTAAAAAGATCATTTTTTCTCATTGATTAATCTTAGCTTGATAGCTGTTTTAACTTTTTACTTACAGATAGATTCCGGGTAGTTCCGATTATCTACTGCGTCATCGGAGCTAAACGGAACTTTTTTATATGAAAATATGATATACTCAATAACTTATTGATAAATTCATTTGTTCAATAAACCAAGCATGTAACAAATAAATAGACTTAGTAACTATATCTAAATTTCAACTGATACCATACATACAATATCACAGAAAAAAATAACATGCTAAAAAGTATCTCAAATAATATTATTCGCGAAACTTGAATAATCTTAGTCCCATTTTTTCCGGGCCTTTGAATGTTGATTTAATAATTAAAAGACGAGTTGATGACCAAAACTGAAGTTTGGAGCAATTTTTATATAATAACTTGCCGATCTTTGCCAAATTTTCTAATTCCCAATTTTTTTTTGATTTTTTACATTTTTGGCGCGAACCTTTATGTACCTATTGTAACACTTTAAAAATCATATATTATGCGTATTTTTGCCTGCTTTACAATTTTATTTAGTATATCAAAAAAGGTTTAGAATACTGTTTTTTGGGGAATGTGATATTTCGCGGGCGCGATACCTTTTTTTTATATACTGAACAAGAAACACGCGAAAGTTCAAGATTGAATATTGCAAATAATGTAAATAACAAATTCTCCCCATATTCATTTGATATTTTATTCCACTAATCAAGGGGACAGGGCTACCCGCGGATATCCATCATCCATCGGATATCCTCAGATATCTTCGGATACACGGATCTGATACTAGTAGTAATACGGCCTTATAAAAAAAAGTAAATACGTTTTTTTATACTGAAAGATACGTTTTGTTTTGAGATACGGAAAAATGCACAATTCCGTATCTTGCAAGACACGTTTTGTATAGGGAGACACTGAAAAAACGTATCATGTGAGATACGGAATTGTGCATTTTCCCGTATCTCAAAGCGTATCTAGACGTATCTAGACGTATCTCTCAGTAGATTAAACGTATTTTTCAGTATAAAAAACGTATCTACTTTTTTTATATGGCGGATAAGCGGATTACAGCTGTTTTCATATTATTCGGGACAAATTTTGAACCCGACATCCGGTCCGATGTATCTTCCCCACCCGTGTGTCGCGATGGCGCAATCAATTTATATTTGTTTATCGTTTATTCATTACAGAAAACTAACAATCATACTTAGTAGTACACCACATTTTTGAGTAATTTTCCCGATAGCAACAAATTTTGTTTAATAGAATTTAACCTTTTAAAAATCGGGATCCGGGCTCAAGAAAACATTACTCTATCGATCTTTGTCCATAACGTATTATAAATTGATCTTATCCAATTTATCAATTTTAGTTGTCAAATTATATAAAAAAAAAATTTTTTCTCGTACGTGATAGTGGAAATTTATAATTATAAGAACAATCCACGATAATTTATATAAAGCAACAAATGCATATGTGTTCAAGGATAAACTATAGATCACGGCCTGGTTTTTTTAAATAAAATTTAGTTCGCATAAATAAATTTTTCATGCATGAGAAAGAGTCTTCAGGGTATTCTATAATATAAAGGAATTTTTAACGTCCGTGAAAAATTAGGGTCATTACTAGTGGTTCAAGCCAGTGATGCATGTTTTATTAAATATATAATCGCATAGTCACGCTCCATTTAAATGTTATCATTTATCTTGGAGTATAACGTAAAATGTGGAGAACCTTATTACAAATTAAATCTAACGCAAAGTTATGAAATTTTTACCGTTGAAAAACGTAAAAACGTTTATTGAAAAATTACTCAACGCAGTTATAACTTATTGATTAACCAAATGAACCTACTTGGTTTCAACTTGAAGTAATTGCAACGTAATTTCATTTTTAAAAAAAGAGATTATCTTGTTATTTTATCTAAAATATAAATAGAGAGTTATGAATAGTGCTCCTAACGGAACGGTCGACCCGGGTTCAATAATTTTTATGACCCGGTGACCCGCATGGCCCGACCCGGTTGGCCTGAGTTATTGAACAAATACTAATTAATTATAATAAATGAATGATAACAAAGCTTCATAATATTACAAATCTAATAAACCTATTAGAATTTCATTAAGGTTTCATTATAATGCCGAAGAAATGGTGGTCGCTCAGTTTTTTTCCTTTGAAAATTCGGGTTTAGACCCGGGATATCCGGTCGAACTATACTCGGGTCTGGTTTAGAGTCAAGACTTTTTCACTTTGGTTGGGTCGGGTATATCTTCAAAACTAGACCCGACTTGACCCGTTAGGAGCACTAGTTATGAAGTTGAACCATGATGGGGCAATATAAAAAATAAAATAAACCAAGTAAAATACTATTTTACTTTAAGATGTCATTTCATTTAGGAAGGTTAAAGTAAATAAGAGATTATAATACGTAGATAGTACTATAAGTTGTTGTCCATTCAAAGCAAACAACAAGTAATTAAAAGACAATCTAGAAACCAAGATAATTTGAAAAGCATAAATTAAACAAAATAAACTAAATTTCGACCATATAGTTTTTATGCAAATTACAAATTTTTTTTCTTTTTTTTTTGGAAAACAATAGTCTATCACTCTATCTTATCTCATGATGTACGGGATTAACCGATTCGGATTAAATTGGCAGCCACTTATTTTCTATCTTATATAATATCATTGATAATGCTGTAATCGCAAAAGTTACACAAAACGCCACTTATCAAAAAGGTGACGATCATCTGTTAATAGTAATACCTTTATTTTCCTAAAAAAAATTGATAGCATTCTCCAAGATTATTCATTGAAATAATATGACTATTTCCAGCTGCCTTTTAATATAATTCAAATGCATTTATTTCATCTTTTTCAGTTCCTATAACCGAACCGACAGAGAACATCAAAGAGAAAAATATAAGAATAAAAAAAAATCTATGTAAAACTCTATTGTAGTAACCTTATATATTGCTTGTCCATAAAATAATGGACCTACTCTCTCTAGATTGTCATTATATAGGTAAGTAATTATTCTCGCGAAGAAGGATTTCCAAGCTTTGAATGTTGAGGATCCAACTTTCCAAATCTCGGTATAGACATCAAAGTGTATATTGTAAACAAACGGAGGCATTAACTTTTTGATCTTCTTTTGTGACGTGATGTAACGTCGGTAGATTATATATTGAGTTTTCGATCAACTGGTTTGTTTAGACAATGTTAGGCTGGTTATAATTTAGCCAATCTTTTGTCCATTTCCAATTGATGTTATGTGGATACTCTTCTCCTTAAGTGGAGATAAATTTTTAAATTTATTACAGAAATGATCAACCAATTTGCATTTAATGATAATATAAATACAATAGCCGAAATAACGGAAAACGATTTTTTTTATTATAATCGAAAATTGTAAATTATAAAAATTCGACCTAGTGTTATTATATACAATACATAAGATCTTACAGTAAAATCCTTAAGAATTATAATTTGTTTTGTGGTTTGAGAAAAAAAAATTTGTTTGCGTTTGATTGTCGATAATTAAATCAATTAAAACGAAGTTAAATAATGGGAAAACGACATAATTATATTTGAAAGCGTATTATTTGACGGGGATAAAAACTAAATATCGATATTATTCTAGATTTGCCTAATGTACGTGTATGTTTCGAAATTAATTATTTTTATCAGAAGAATTATTGCAATTTTGAGTCGTAAAGCTTACTAACTTTTGTAAATTTTCTAAAGTAAATTGAGATAAGTCATACTCTAATTCACAAGGAACGTTATTTAGAGTAAATTTTGCGTTAAAAATTGAGCATTTTTCAATTTTTTTTTTTGGACATTTTTTATGAAAATCGTTAACAATTTCTTCTATTTTATTTAGTTTATTAGAAAAGAGTTTGATACAATCGTCTGTTTCTTTACAGTCTGGGCAATATTTAGCTTGCCTTTTCCTAGTTTTTCTGTTATCGGTAAGTTTTATTTTTTGAACTTGATACGGATGTGTTTTCGGTTCATAACTTTTCAATGGCATTTTTTTTATTAAATAAAATGAAGGAAAATATCTTACGTATCTTAGAGAAATAAATATGTAATATGCATGAATTTTTTTTTTTTTT